TCCTTCAAATCTACATGTTGTCATGCATCTGGTATCACAGAGCAATCAGCCTTGGATTCTCCACTGCTGGCTTACCCAACTGCACAAAAACAGCTATGCCCCAAGTGGCATCCTATGTCCAGACAGAAGGGGTCTCAGCCAATTATCTTGATAGATGTACATATATTAATGTTTTTAAAATTTGTCTCAAAGCCATGGCATATCAGGACAATGACCACAAGTAAATCAAGACTCAAGTGTCCACACAGAACTGTCTCTCCAACACTGTGTTTTATAACAGGTCTGACTACTGTCTGTGACTTTGCAAAATACTAAACACAGCCATTTCTCTGTCTACCTACCCTCTATCCCACTGGTGGACAGATCTGATTCCCTGCAAATGTGAAGTGACACAGCTGCACTGACATCAGTGACGAACTTCTCTTTATTACAAATACTAGTCTGGCCCTCCTACTTTCACAAATGCCCCTAAGGGGACTACATGAAAAATAAAGCTTGGAAAAGTACAGAGCTATGACTAGGGAACAGCCCATGGCACAGATGAGAGGACAGTAGCCATAAAGAGCTTGAATCCAGATGTGAAATTCTCCAATTCTCTATTTCCTATGTGAAGCAAGTTAACTATTGGGTCAACCTTGTCCATAACACACAGATTTCTAAGGACAGCTCCACCCAAAGATCTTTGGGAGCTATTTACTTAGAGCCATGCAAACATCTGTATATATGACAAAAGAATGAAGCAAATTCCACCCTTTGTGCAGCTATCCAGGGCCACTGCAACAGGCAGAGCAGGCAAGCGGACTGACATGCCAGGGCTAGCCATGCACAAGTACTTCATGTGTCCAGTGAGCATGGAGACCTCAGCTGCAGTTTCATCAGTGGAACAGAAGGTATCACATCCAGAGACAGCAGAGGGCACAAAACTGACCTCAAACAAACATAGTTTCAGTGGAATGTGGTATCTTCAATTCCTTCCTGGGTTTCAAGCAACTAAGCACTTTCCTGCGCAACCTACTACAGGGAAACTGTTTTTTAGCAGGAGAGTTGGACTCGATGATCTCCAGAGGTCCCATCCAAACCCTACAATTCTGTGATTGTGTGAAGAGATGCATGAAATTCATATTGAGCCCTCAAGCTATTAAACACCTACTGCATAGAGCTACATCGCTCTCTGAGCTTCCACAGTCAACCATAAAGGTAACTGGGCTTTGGCCATGCAGAATTCCCACAGATTTCAATGGGAATTTCAGTGTTCCAATCTGGACTCCAAGAATGCAGCTTTGGACCCAAAACTCTGACTGCTGGAGCCACATTCAATATCAGCGTCTGGCAACACCCATTTGTGAAACAGTGACTCATTCACAGGCACAACTTTAGAGGGACAGACAGGATGACTTCAATCATACATTTCCATTTCATTAACAAAACTCAGTAAAACCAGATGAGCATCCTGGATGATAATAGTTGGTATTAATGTAATGACTGTAGGGATCCACTGCCATAGTTAAGAATAGTTTTATATCATACAGAATGCACTGGTTTAATTTGGTTCAAGAGCATAACAGTTAATGGACTCCTGCAGCTAAGGACAAAATTGTTTAAATGGACACCATTTTCTTTTTTTTTTTTTTTTTTTCCTGAAAATACGATACATGAAAATGAATTATAGAAAGTAATTTGAAAGAGACAGATCTTCAAAAGCACCTAGGTGACCTACGAGTCTAGGATGCCAGATAAATAAGCTGCCATTAGCACTTCACATTCATTGTAAATAAGGGAGCAAGCAGTTTGTGTAATGGTCCACTAAGGGAGCGACAAGTAATTCAGACAGATATTTATTCAAGGTGCTCATCTGTTATGGCTGCACAGTCCTTCCCAGTGGCTATCTGGGTTTCCATTCAAACACAGTTTTAAGTCTTTCTGTCCAATATTACTGTATATCAAGCCTCAAACTTGACAGAAAGGATCTGAAAACACACTGTGTGTTAAAGCGGGAGTTTGGCACTGGGCTTTTACTGAAGCTTTCTTAAATAGAACGGGCAGTGTTTTGGGCACTGTTTTTCTGGATCAGCATGTTTGGCTTACCAGTTTAACATATTCAGGGTACACTTCCATGGCAGCTTGCAAGCAGATGCCAATTCCCTCTGCACATGCTACAAGATGCCCAGATATAAGCTACCTCTAATCTTAAAGCATGTAACTGCAACCCTGTAACATTGATCCCAAACTAACATATTCTGCTTCTCAGCAGGACTTGTTAGTACAGGCTGAGCCACATGCTATGCAGCTTCACATTCAGAGCCAGTTTTCACCCAGCCAGCTTGGAGCACACAGAGTGAGTTCATATCTGCCTGCCAAATCCTGAGTAGACATATCTTCAGTGACTCAAGCAGCTAGAAGTAGAAATGAGGGATGAATCTTGTGTAATATTCTCACAGTCCACTAAAAGGCTAACCTTGCTCAGAACATAGAGGAGCAAGTCAGAGTATGGTAGCCTGCTTTCCTGTCTTGATATGATAACTCCTTACTTCGTGTACCAAAGCTCTTCCTCACTGACACTTCTCCAGCTTCATTCCAAGTCCTGCCTCTCTTAGAAGGCTAAGTGCCCTTCTGCTCGGAGACATGAGTTCCTTCAGGATTTGCCTCCACATGAAAAATGAAAGCAACACATACCAAACAAAACTCCTCTTGCTAATTTCCTAATCTCCTCCCAGACTCTGTAGGATAACAAGTGCTTCTCTAGATCCCCAAGGAAAACCAGGACCTCACAAAATACACCTACACCTAAGCTGATGATTTAAATTCTGTATTGCAGCCTGAAAGCTCTCTGGTTAAAGTCATGGCAATCAGCCAAAGCATGCTTTTTTCCTCCACAGTCCACACAAATCAAGTAAAAAAGTTCCCTCTGTCATAATGTAACTTCACTGAAATTATAATTAACCTTTTTGTATCCTAGCAGGCCATTCATTTAACAAAGAAGCTTAGAAAGCAACCATTGGTTTTCCAGTAATACATTCATCCATATTTCTTGGCATTCACATTAGTATCTGCTGTTTTTCTATTATTCATATTTTAAAGTCATAGAGATAATTTCTCTAGATTTACAAACACCCCAGGCAACACCAATCTGGAAATATACTATTTTGAGTCTTCCATCACAACTGCAGATTCTACATGCATTCCCGCTTTTGCATAACTGCGCATTAAGTCACCTAAATTTGATTTTTCAATTTCCAGTTTACTTTAGATAGAGCCTGCATCAGCTGATCCAATTCAGCAGTCTCTTTAGGACCTTGTGAACACAACTCGGGATAAAATAGCAATTAATACAACACAGAATTGTCTTAAACAATGTCTAGAAATGCAGTTCAAGTTAGAAATAAAAGTCCACAGTCAAGGCACAAGACTTGGCCTACAGACCCCAACACATATCTTTATCTGATCTCCTGGAGGCCGGACACAAGATTTATCCTAACTATAAGGAAAAGAAGCAGCAAACTAAGGTTCACTGAAACCGCCATCCTACTGTTCTAGTATTCAGGCCTGGGAACAGTTAGCCAGAATACTTCTGCTGACTTCAGCTTCTGGGATAGTTCTTCCTTGTTTAACCTTGAATCTTTCACATACACATAGAGATAAACACCCAAAGTTCTACATGCTAAGACTTATGCAAACACATTTTGTGCCAAAGAGCATAGGCCAATAACCTGCAAAGATCCACACTCACACAGAATTGCACAATAGACCACACGTATTTGGGAGTGTGGCATTTGCCTATCACTAAAAATTATCAAGCACCAGTCATTTTCAGAATCAATTTGCTGGTCTCAGTGGATCAGTTACGCTGCATTTATTCTTGCCTTAAGCAATACCTTCTACGCGGGTCATTCATACCAACTTGGGAGCTCACCCAGATCCTTCCCTCACTGTTTTCCAGGTCCTCAAGCTCAATAACATTTTATTCACCAAATAGAATTCCTCTGGCTTTTCTCTGAAACCCTAATTCCAACTTTATCCCTTCATCCTGAAGAGCTGCCAGAGGCATAGAGAGCCTACTCCACAGGGATTCCAAATTCCATAGTCCACTGCAGCCCAACACTACATGACTGCAAATCTTTCAAAAGAAAGAAGAGACTCCATAAAACACCATCAGACATCTAATATTTCAAAATGTAAATTTATACATAAGTTGTAAACTCTTCAAACACACACACTCAGCTAATGCACAGGTTTCCTCTGATCCTCAAAGGCTGAACAACAGGCACTTCACTATTGCCCTGTGTGTAAGCTCTGATCCACTAGCTGATGAGTGGATGGGGCCCAGGAAGACCAGTACTCCTGGCAAGAGCAACAGAACTTTTCTCCTAATTCTACCACGTGCACAGTAACCAATGCACCATTTAATTGACACCCTTAGTTATTTCAGAATAGGTACAAAAAAGTGGAGCTGAAGAAGTAGCTCCCGAACTGATCCAGAATGCTAAATTAAAAGGTATTTTGTAAATTTTCAACTGCTATTGGGAAGGCCCAACTAACAATCCAAATAATCTCAAAATAATAACAGCCCTTAATCTAACATATATCAGCAAATTCCTGTTTCGCCCTTTTCTAGCAAAAATAACAACACGTTAGTTGCCAGTGCATTAATAAGATCCTATTTCTGCTCCAAAGACTGAATAGAACCTTTGTTCTTCACAGCAAAGGATTAAGAAGGTTGCTATTTTGGTAACAAGATGTGGTAGAGGTACTTACTTTGCAGCTGAGATCCAGACTGGATGACTGAGAAAGGAATAAGCTCTGTTACCTCAGATGAACTTATCAGCCTCGCTTAGCATGATGCATATAATTAGCAATAAAAGAGAGACTATTCATGAATAATTACAATTTGATACTGTTTAAGCTCATTTACAAAATGTGCCCTATGTTGTACAGAAAAACATTAATGTAACTTTATAAAATGGCAACATGTACACACATATTACATAAGAAAAATTACTTACTTTCTAGGTAGATTATTGGTCAGTTGCTTCTTTTTTTTCCCACTTTATTTCTGGGTACCCCACCTCTTTTAACAGTTCATCATAGAGAAAATCTGTCAGAAAGTGCCACAAGAAAAAAGAAGTGTCAGAAAAACAGCACATGGACAGAAACAAATGAGAGAACACTCTGAAAAGAAGATCAAATCATAGGACACAGATCCAAGTGCTGAGGCACCAAGATGATTGAGAAAAGTGTTTGTGAGGCTGGAAAAGGAAGCAGTGACCTGTGAAAATGAAAGCAACTTCATGAAAACATTAGTCATGTCAAAAATATGTTGTTTATAGTTATTATAACAACATTTTTATTAAACAAACTTGTTTGGTATATAAAGTTGTTGCAAGTAAAACATTTCCAAAGGACTAGGGTAGGTAAGGCAGTGTGGTTAGAAACTGGCACCACTTTTAATTACACAGGGATTAACTTTTTGCACTTAGAAATGGAAATGCTTGGGGCTCACATCAGAGGAGGTCCAAATTTATAAATCAAAAGTATTATTGTAATAAAATCAAGGAGAATCTTCAAATACAGCAAAAGCAGAAGTGAAGTTAAACAGAGCCTTGATATCTCACTTGTACCCTGCCTATTGGCCATTGACATGACAAAGGACCTTGAAAACATAACAAAAATGAAACAATTTACTTTTATTTCCACTCCAGCAGGGAATTTGTATGTATAAATATATTTTTTAAGGACTACCATGATGAAAAGCAATTCCAGAAATGGGCAGAATGTCAGCAGGAAATATATTCCATTGGTCATAACTGATATCCTGTGGGAATGCTGTTTTACATCCAAAGAAACTCTCTTATATCTTCTTCTCTAAGAAATAGTAGGAATAGGACAGTAAAAATCCACAGAGGTTCAGATATCTCTGGCAATACAGGTGCCAGATATTGCAGGGAAACAAATCTTACACTTGAGTTTTGTCTGCATGACTCACCATATGCCTACTACCTCTTCAATAATTTTTGACACAGTCACCAATTTCAACCATATCTGATAAAAGCAGACACCTCAAACGTAATTATAATCCTAGCAGGAAGTAGGAAAGTAGTTGTATGGGTATATAAAATGTCCTTACTACTGCTTCTAATAAGGAAAGTCTTCAGTGTAAACATACACGACTAAGCCTTCAGGGAATCCACTAGTACTGAACAGTTAGGAATTTCCTAGCCAGTGGAAAAGCTCCAATTGGAGCTTGAGTCTTGTTAGAAAAGCAGACAGCCTAATATCATAGGAAATTAGACCTTATTCAAAATGGGACTTTATTCATTCCAAACTCAGGGAATCACAGTTTTCCAAATAAAGAGTGGAAAAGAAATTGTGCTTACAAGCTTACATTTGCAGGTAACACTTTAATAAAACTTGAAAGGATTCGGGCTTGATGCAGACGTGATGAATCAAAATTGTAATGTGAAGGAAGTGAGAATTTCAAACAGTCCCCTCTCTTGAGTTTACAGAACATGTTGATTCCCTTTCAGATCTTTCAGTAGGTTAACTAAACAAAATATCTATTTACAGCATTAAAAGGGATTGATTTCTTCAAGGATTGCCATTTGATTATCAGTGCAAAGTAATGACAAGTTACAGAAGGATCTACATACTGAAGCTTCCCGTGTTTGTTCTCCCAGTATGAAAAATAATTGCAGATTATAAAATAACTTCCTCATGGAATACTTGAAGAATTTGCAGCATAGTTTTATTTTCATATCATCATAGAAATGCTTTGAATCTCAAATGATAACCCTCTCTGCAGAGCCTTAAGGGCCCCAACCATGTAGCTTGACCCATACTGGTGCAACTCTGACAGATCTCTAAGACAGATACACTTACAGGAAAAAGAAAAAGAAGAAAAAAAAGAAAAAGAAAAAAAAGAATCTTATCCATGCAACACTGGTTATTCAAATCTTGTTACAACATATTAACATGTAGCAGATTCTGCAGATTTTGAATTCAGATCCCTAACATTTAGGTAACATTTTAGCCACTTAAAAGAAATTCTTTGATTTGATTCCCTGGAGGAAGAGGTATTGTAGTTGAATAGGAAACTCTGGATGTGGGAGCTTATTTTGGGGAAAAAAAAAAAAAATAATAATTAAAAGAAAAAGAAAAAGAAAATTTTCAAAATCAAATGCTACCATTTTAGTTTTGGGAACTCAGATGAAAATTAGCATCTTCCATGCTTTAGCTTTCTGTTTGACAGCTGACCAGCCCTAGCACATGCACAATTGACCCATGACTACAGATAACAACTGGACTGACATGACAACTCCTGGAGAAGATAAATATTCAGCTGGATGAAGACTGACATTTATATTTTGTTTCTAAAAATGCCATTTGAGTTCAGATGGATGGATGCATGCATGCATGCATGTGTATATGCATTTTTTCCCCTCTTTTACAATACATAAGTCTTTTTACAGTCATCTGAAATGCTCTCTCACTGGACACAATATAGCTATAGAATCGGGCATTTCGGTGGCCTTCTATGTTTTAATTATATATTATCTCAGACTTGAAGATTTAGAAGTGTTAAAAAGGCCCTCTGTGCTGAATTAGTGTAGTCAACAGCAGTTGTTTCTACTTCATATTTACTAAGATGCTTCAAGTCTCACTAGCCCCAATAAGTAGGAAGAATGTCATATTAAGTCAAAAGTTACACAAACATATCACTCAATTTTTGTGAGATAGGGCCAGTGTTCCAGACACCAGCTAGAGCTTATAGTACTTTAAGAGCAAGACAATGGAAATTAGACAACTACAAACCTTATGATCTTTTTTAGAGATGCTGCAGAGGGGATGCAGTTGTGTTCAGAAGGTTACAGAGTTGATAGATGGACAGATCAAGGCATTGGCTGCTCCCCTCTGTATCTACCAAGTGCACTTGCATTAGGGTGAGAGATTGGCAGGAGGCATTCTAAATCCTTCCCTTAAACAGTCACAGTATAATCAACAGGTGTGAGAGTGCCAGACTTGCTGAAAATTAAGACATGGTTGTCTCAACTTGGACAACTAGATTTCGAAAGAATTTTTGAAAACTGGAGCCTGCAGGAAAATGAGGGTTAGAGCAAAGCTCTCAGGCCTCACACAGAGGCAGTTCTTTTGACTGCAGGACTCCTTTTCCCCTCACTTCCCCTATTCCTTTGCAGGGAGGTGGGGCCAAAGGGAGGCATTTTCAGCCTTCAGAAGACCTTTATACTGTATTAAAAATACAGTTTCTTTAATGTTTCCTTTTTCAAAAGTAGTAATATAAACTAATTGAGTGTGCTCTTAGGAGAGCTGTTGGCAAGGGTATGGGATAATCCTCTGCCAAACCTCATCTTTGGCATGAAGAAATAAACAGACTGTGGTTCTGCATAAAGACAAAACTTTTTGGAAAGCCTTTAAAATATTTCTCATAATGAAAGAGTGGGAGGGTAGTTTTCTTGAAATTCAGAATACTCTCCAATCGACATATTCAACCTTTAAATGTTTTGGCCTCTTCAATTAAGAACCGAGTTCCTTCATTAAAAATAAATAAGTAAAATTGAAATAATTCAGTGATATATGATGTATATGCTCTGATTTTAAACAATCCTCACAAAGGCTATTTTCATACCATTTCCTTTGTCCATAGCAAATATGTTGTGCCAGATGATAGGAATTAAATTATTCTCATCACCCTATATTAATGAAAAGAACACTGAGATTGATAGGTCACGTGTTCTGCCTAAAGCCATAAAGGAACCATTGCCCAGAACAGCACTGCCAGATTAACTTGCTCTAGACTCTGGCTCTGTGCTTCTTAATCATGTTCCCCCTCCTGATATCTGAACAAGAATACTGTCAAAAATATAGGGGAAAAAAGGTGCAGCCTTGGGTTTTATTTCAAGGTGCTCTCAACCAGTCTCCCATAGTAAACTGGAAGGCAATGAAAATTATGCAGAGAATTTAGAAGAAAAGCAATTGGAGTTTTTGAGAAATATTTCAGCAAATTTCTCATTAACGTTACACTTTAGAGAAAAATAGAGAAGTCAGCTAAGAGCCAAGAAGCCTAATACCATTATATTGTTTTGGTTCACTACGTGAAACACAACTGGTGTTTTAAAGAGTAGATAAACCTTCCATATTTAACAAATGAAGTTTATCACACATAGATCTGAAACACACTTAGATGAAGTTTCTGTATCCGAAAGGCTACTATGCTTTGCCAATACACACAGGATCATGTTGGACTGCCCAGTGTATCATGAGTGTTTTTAAAAGAAACTGAATACTTTAAGAACATTTTAATAGTGTTCCTTTTTGATTTTGGGTGGAAAGGAAGACTGTCTTTTCCTTTTCAGGATTATTTTTTTCTAAGTACATTTCTAAATCCCACTTAGTTTTGTTTAATTCCAGCCTTGTAAACCCTTTGTATGTTTCTCTCTCTCAAGTCTATTTAAGCACTATTATATCTCACCTTCCAGCAAGGATGTTGCTGTATCGTTCCTTTCTTTTCTTTCAGAAACCAAGTCTCTTTGCACAGTTTGTGAATTTCTCCTGTCTACACAAAGGTCTACTGCTGCAGGCCACATAAAGACTTCAGCATTAATAACTTATACAAACTCACAAAGTTCTCTGCTTACTCCAGCTGTTATCTCTGTACAAGATTAATTCATGCCAAATCTTCAGCTTTTCTCCGTAATAATGATAATAACAAAAAATGTTTAAATACAAACACCAAAATTCTGACATCACCATGGGACTGTTCAAAGAGGAAGCCAAGAACCTGCCTCAGTGTGGAGCTTGACATTAGTCAGTCAATTTGAGAAAAAGGACATACCTCATCCACACAGCCTTCCAGTACAGCTACATAGTTGACATGTTTTCAAGCACCTCCCTGAAAGAAGCAGTGGTTAAGCCCAAAGCTTCAAGAATTTCACTAAAGAATGTACCAGTATCTGGTTATGCAAAGGCCTTTGGTTGAAGAACACATAAACTTCAAATACCACTGGGGCTTGTGGGTTGAATTTTTTTGGGTTTTGAGTTTAGGAATTTAAGTCACGTCTTACTGTGAGAAAAAGAAAGCAA